TGGTCCTCAAAATTCCCAGATACCCAGAGGAAATCATCATCGTTAACATCCTTATCCGGGGTATCTTTTATTATCTTTTCACGTCGGTGTCTTATTCTTAAATAGTAAACCCAGCCATCTTCATTTGATCCTATGGAGTATTGGTGGAAAAGCTTGGTTAAACCGAGGTTAAGGCCAGCCCGGCGATTTAGCTCGACAATGCCATTTATTATGCGGTATGAATTTGTAGAAAGTTGGGTAGGGCAGAGGTTGGTTTGTCTGAGGAACTCGCATAGAAGGGGTTGTACGGGGAATCTTAATCCGGTTTCTACAATGGAAAGAAGTGTAAAAGGAATAAAGCCAGGGTTTCCCCAGGGTATAGTATCTAGTTCGGCTAGAGTGAGATGAACATCATCAGGGATATGGTAGTCCCTTCGGAACTTAGCCATAGCACCTGGTGAGTTCACTAAGAACCTATATTTGCCCATAAGGATTTAAGTTAAGTATAAGTTAGCCTGGAGTATTAGCTCGGCGCCAAGCAGATAATGGGTATCTTGGTTGGACGTGCAAAGGAGTGATTGGGCAACCTAGTCAGAGTCTGCAAAGTAAAAAAGAAAGGTGTTAAGCACATACTGTGGGACCGTGCTACAAGAAATATAGGCAAGATAAATGAAGTCCTAGTTCGGTTACATGGAATGCTATCCAGTCTTAGCTTGATTTAAGCAAAGGGCTTTAGCCCGGTGGAGCCATTGGGGTAGCAATTTTAGTTCGGTTTGAACTAAGGGAGCTGGTTTAGCCCCAAGATTTAGCTCGGTCGGTGGTTGAGGCTTTCTAGTGCGGCATTGTGCAAACCTAATCTAATTCGCTAGCTCGGTTAAGTAAAGCAAAAGGTTCTCAGACTTACTTGAAACAGCAAGTGTTCATAGAGTCTTAGCTCGGTTGTTCAGTTTTGCTAAGGCTCGCACCTATTACGAACTACTTCCTAGTCTGGTTGGAGTATGATTTCAGATCTAAGACGTTCCAGTTTAGTTTTTTGGCAAAATCAATAGTTATGGGTATTATTCAAGTTGTTCTTACTCGTTGCAGAGAAAATTATTTTTAAAAAAAAAGTGTTGTGGGAACGCACGTATAGTACATGTAAACTATTCAAACGGAAAGCAAAAAGGGATTAAGTTACTTACAGATTGAAGAAGGAAGGATGTAGGTCTGAAACCACGAAGGTGATGTTGAAAATGCAAGCTTCGCAAGTGCAAGAGTGGCGGCAATGGAGGTTCAAGCAAGAAAAAGAGAGAAGATGAATAGTGCAAGTGAAACGGTTTATAGTATAAGGATTTGTTTTGTAAAAATAGAAGGAAAAAATACGGGACTGTTCAAAATTCATGAGATACGAGGGCGACGTGACAGCTATGATAAACCAATAAGAGTTTGCCACGTGTCCAGGGAATATAAACCGATTCAATAACAGCGGCTGAAAAGACATTTTGATCAGATTGATTGATAGCACGGTGTGAGTTTAGCTTGGTTAGAAGGCTAAAGTTTCTAGCTCGGTTGGAAGGCTAAGGTTTTTTAGCTCGGTTGACAAGCTAAAACTTTTAGCTTGGCTGGTGACAGGTAATCCCTATCATGCTGCACAGAGAGGGTAATTTTTGTGAAAATTGGGCCGAGCTGGGTAATGGGCCATTCTGTGGACCACAGTAAGAAGGGCTGAGTAAAAAGGGCCTTGTAATTAGTCTGGTCCAGAAGAGCCTTGGTGGTTAGCTTGATCACCACGGTCGGCATGATGATAGCTAGCTCGGTCATACTATACTGGGGCCGAAGTATGTTGAGCTTTCCTCAGAACCTTGCTGTTGGTTAGCTCGGTCCAAGCTTAATGTGATCAGTCCGGTCTTGGACAACACAGTTGGAATGCCAAACCGAGGTACGCACAGTGAAAGGAAGAACCGAGCTAGTGGGGGCTCGGTCTAGTCTACGGCTTTAGCATGGCCATGTTATCTCAATCGTATTGACATCCAACCGTGGTAGAACCATTTCACTTGGTTTAAGCAGTGAGGGGGGTGTTGAAGGATAATCATGATCTTTCAGAAAGGTGATTCTTAAGAGGACTCTACATGAAGGAATAAGAGTCCTACTTGGATTATGCCATGCGGAACCTATAAAAGCTCACAACATCACCTATGGAGAGGTAACACAACTTTGATTCCCGAATACATAGAGCTTTTTGTCTATTTGTCTATTTGGCTGACTTAGGCATCGGAGAGGTATCCGGCACACACCCGCCGACTAGCTCACGTTTGTGTTTTCAGGGAGTAAAGCGACGTTGTACGGAGGAGCGCAGACTTGATCAACAGGATTATACGAGAAAGAATATTTCTTGCTCGTACAACTATAATTACAATCACAAACTGATATGTTCCAATACATGATTTCACCGCTGGCTCAATTATAACCCCACCAAACCAGTAACATTAAACAACGGATATGCCAAATAAAAACCCCTACACACCCATTATATATAGCCACACACTCAATACATGCTCCAACATTGCCAAACACTACCCATTACAATGATGATGTACCATAAAACAGGGAAATGAAACATCACAGACCACATACCTGACACCATTGTTCACCAACATAGTTAGAGCAGCCGATGAGGGGTGGATGTGAAATCGACGCCGCCGGAGTGCCGCTACTAACGTCAACCAATACCCCACAATCACACTAGTCCAAATGCTCCTGATGATACGATGTTAGTGTAGGGTAAGAGAATTTTTCGTATTTCTAGGGTTTTAGAATCAAACGAAACGTTATTTGGGGCAACTATGACTGTTGAGTTAACATTACCATAAACGTTGCAATACGACCAATGGCGTATTACTCAAGCACACTAGCATTGCAACCCAAGAAATTGCCATGTTGATCTCTTCCAGATTAGTCGGATGTGAGGAAAAACCAAAAAAACCTCTACAGTACGATTTTTGGACAACGATGTAAATTCAGCATCAGCAAAACATCCTTTCTACCCCTAACTTATATACAAACATACGAGTCAACGATGTACATAAATGTCTCACATTGGCATGAGACTTATTTGTCTACAAGAAAAAAAGGTAGGACTAAATGGTTCATAAGACTGAAACTTGAGATTTGGGTAATTTTTCCTTTATGAATAAATTATTAAATTAATTAATAGTCTTTAATGATGTTATAAATATATTTCAATTAAAATTTTAAGTATTTTTATTATTTTATAATAGAATAGTTATAAATTTAATTTTTTTTGTTAGTTCTGTTAAATATAAAAAAATTGACAATGGAGTATTTGTAATTTTCAAAGTCATAAGGAATAATTCATATTTTAAACAAATCTAAAAAAATATATTTATAATTTACTTTTCTGTTTTTACATTTTTTTTTTTGTGAAATGTTGTTTAAAAAAATTTTAATATATAATTTTCTTCACATTATATTTAATGGTAATTTACATTGACTTCTCTGAAACTCCACAGTTTTAGTATAGTTAAATCAAAAGTTAAATGAAATGAAACTAATCTAAATCATGTGAAAATACAAAAATAAACAATGTAATTTTTTTTTCATATAATTAACAAATTATTAATAAAAAGGGTTAAGTATTATATGAATTAAAATATCAAACAAACACAATATAATTATATCAAAATTATAAAACTTACTGCATTTTCTTTAAATTTTAAGAGATTAGTGTAATTTATCTTATTTTTTTATATTAAAAATGATTGAACTTTTCTCAAGTTTATATTTTAACATGCAACAATGATTCATCCCACTAAAATTTTTTTTCATATAATTAACAAATTATTAATAAAAAAGGTTAAATTATATGAATTAAAATATCAAACAAACACAATATAATTATATCAAAATTATAAAACTTACTGCATTTTCTTTAAATTTCAAAGAGATTAGTGTAATTTATCTTATTTTTTTATATTAAAAATGATTGAACTTTTCTCAAGTTTATATTTTAACATGCAACAATGATTCATCCCACTAAAAACATCAACACTAATAGCACTAATGCATTAAAAAAGTAAAAAAAAAAAAAAAAATTAGTGGGAGCACTAATTAGTGCTCCCAAGCATTTTTCTTTAACATGTGTCTCATTTTAATGATCTATCGTTCATTTTATAGGATTATCAATATATATCATTCATAAAATAATTAAATTGATTTGATAATTATAATATTTTCATTTTATTGTATTTTTTTGAATATTTATTTATCGTATATTTTTTAAAAAATGTCATTAAATAAAAAAATTATGATTTTTAAATCAAATTATTTTTTCTTATGAATAATATATATTGAGTAATTAAAACTAAACTTAGAAAAAACAAAAAACAAAATCATACTTTTTCACGGGTAATTATTCCATAATATAATATTGAAATTAATAGGAAAAATGGATAAATAGAATATTATACTTTTTCACGGGTAATTATTCCGTAATATAATATTAAAATTAATAGAAAAAATGGATAAATAGAATATTATGTAAGGAATTGAGAACATAAAAAGTATATTAAATAATAATTAATTACGAAGTACGGATACATAATGAGTGTTGGGTATTGATTCGGGTCATAATTTAAAATGTTTAATATATAAAATTAGTCAAATATATTATTTTTACAAAAAATTATATTAATTAGATATAAATAATTACTTAATCAAATTATATTTTTAAAATAATTTTTAAAATAAATTATGATAAAAATATAATTAAATAAAATAATTATCGATATTCAATAAACATACCCTTTTATAAAAATAATATATCCAACAAATTCGGTACATTCAACGATTTTGATTATGGATATTGGCCAATTCAGGGCCCACCAATGCCAACACTCCTCCCTAGGAGAGGAGCCGTGTCCTTTATAATTTGAAAAATATTAGAGGGTCTAAATTTTTTACCAAATAAATCACCCTATGTCCACATGTGTGGGATCCGTAGAAAATTTGTTGTCCTAGCATTACCCCTCCATTCACTTGATTACGTACGGGACTGAAATTCTAACAAAGGTTCTCCCTCTTCCTTCAGTCCTCAGGTCTCTCTCTCGATCACTGTCTTTCTCTAGTTCGTCTTCAATATATGTATGTATGTATGTATGTATGTATGTATGTATGTTGTATTGTGAATCTAAATGTCGTCTTTGATTCTTTGTGTAATCGTTCTCTCCTAGCATCTCAAATTTCAGTCTCTCTCACTCTCTGCCTCTCACTCTCTTCAATTTGGGAATCAGTGATTTTAGGTTTTCAATAATATTTGCTTATTGACGAATTTCCCATGAGATCCTTCATTGTTAACTTGTGATTTCAAGTTTTAGGAATATTGAAGGAGAAAAAGTATCAATCGTGGTTCGCAGGTGTTCTGTTTTTTGTTTAACAGAACAAGTTTATGAACAATTAGATTATCCCCTCAAGTTTTTTTAAGAACATTGATTGGTATGCACTAATTCAGTGAAAAAGAAAGACCCAACTTGTTATTTTTTTATTTTTCATTTTGATTTCTATTTATTGTTTTTAACGATGAGATTATGATATGATTGCAATGTAATGGTTTGATATGGGTTGATCCAATGATTATCCTGCTGATTGTCAAGAATCTGTGTTTTAAAACATTAAACGAATTAAATTATGAATCTTGATAAAATAACACCAAGATATTTATAAGTACTAGTAGCACATGAAATTGTTTTAATGAAAAGAGAAAATAGGCATTGCTGGACTAGATGAAAATACTTTTAATCAAATGAAATGCTATAAAGTTACAGCTGCCTTGTCAATTTGTTATTGTAAATATCTAGTATAATAATTTTATTAAATGTTATTAGGAATATTTAATTGATCACTGTGTCAATCTATTGGAGCCATTAAGGATGCTATATATCAGTAGTTAGCTCTGAAGGGCTAATTATTTTCTAAAAGTCCCTTGGTATAGATTTTACCATTTTTTGCATAAAATTTTAAAAGAATGGTAATTAATAATTATCCTTCAAAATAAATACGAATGTTTTTTTTTTTTAATTTTTTTAATAGGCTGAAGGGAATGAAAATATGATGAAGAAGATACATTGCAAGATATGGATATTATTATAGAAAAGCTATGGAAATGAATAAAAAAATTACATGCACAGCTTGAGGTTTTGAAATGCATGCAATATCAAAATAGTGATACTGGAATTTCACATATTTTGTTCCATTCGTTGGTGTGCGAAAAATTATTGTATTTTGCAACTTCTTTTGTTTGCATCTTCCAAAATTCTTTTCAGCGTTTTCCGAATATGTTTACATTTGGAGCATCATATACATCCTGTTTTTGTTTGTTGGTTTGACAAGAGTTAGCCTTCACTGTTGTCATTTTCATAGTCCAATCCAAGGCTCAAGATGCAGTAACACAATAAAAAGAGGTGTTTATAAAAGTATATTACTAGATTTAGAAGAGGCACTTATGCTATTCAACTTGTATGTTGTTTCCTTTTCTTTTTCCCTTTTATTTCTTCTACATTTAACTTAGTTTCATGTTTTACCTGCTCTGCAATTTCTAATTTCAAATGCCATTGAGGTGGCCATAGATATTGTATATATGACAGACGCACTTGGCGTCAATTTTTTTATTCACTTCTACCATAAAATTATGATAATGAAATAAAATACATAATTCAAGTTTTATCACCATACAGATTGGAAATGATGTTCCGCCATGTGTTTTACAAGGCCAGCAGAGTACCAATGGCTCATTTCAAGAAGCTCCAAATATTTAAAGGTTGGGTCTGCAATATTAAAGACACTCCTTCAGACTTCTGTCTGTCCTCTTCTGTCCTTCTCAAACTGGATGGGCCTTGTTACTGAGAAATCTAAGGCCATGGAGCTACATTTAGTGCTCTGACATGATCATTGCACTCTCTCCTTATATAGATGAACTCCATTCGAAGATTATAGTGGCAAAGACTTCTTCTTCTTCTCCTCCTTTTTTTCTTTTTTTTTTTTTGGTATGATAAGTAATTGCTAAGACTTGGCCTAATAACCTTAAGGTTATGGTTTCAAGTCTTGGGGCCACCACTTTGTGCATTATGCTAAAGGTTAGGTGTGTACTCAATCTTTTCCCTCCCAAACACACATTAATGTGTACTAATTGGGCGTTGTTTTTTTTTTTATGATAAGTAATTGCTATTATTATTATTTCTTTCATCCACCTAAAGGCCTTCAAAATATCAAGTTTATCGGGGCATGGTATAGATTATGGAAATTGATTGATAAAACATGTACCTTATTGGAAGTAACACCCTTACCCTTGATGTTGTGGTCATGGAATGTGGTATATACTGTTGTTACTTATCCATGACAGAGTTATTGATTTGATTACCATGAAACAAGAGAGAGACTTTTCTCTTCTTGAGATTCGGGAAATTATTAAGACAGACATTTTCCTTATTGGCCATACATGCATTTTGTTGTTGTGTCAATAACGAGTCATGACAACTCTTTGCGATATTTGCTATTATACAACCCCTAATTCACATTTTTATGTTTTTCATTTCGTTCTGCAGCATTGGACTTGGTCTTTTTCTCTGTGGATTGTCTTGGCTAGCCACATATTAATTTGCTAGTTCTTATAAATAATTTATTCAAACTGCATATAATTACCTATAAAGATCTTATCCACCACCTTCCTTTGTTTGAAAAGTCATTTGAGTGATCTTGTTTAAATTGTGAGGTTCTTTATTGCAGGATTTTCAGGGATGTTAGAGGAAATGGTTGGGGACAGTGACCAGCGCATCACCCGTCTTCTCTTTTGCGGGCCTCATTTTCCTGCATCTGATAATTATACGAGAGAATATGTACAAAACTATCCATTTATCAAGGTATTTAAGTTTCTCCATTTATTTCTTTTTCCTTGATAAATGGATAGTTTTCCAGCTCTATTTTTCCATTTTGAGATTTATGGTTGTGTCGTTGATTAATTGTTATGCCTATCCTCAATTTGTGAAAGGTTGTTTTTGTAATGGTAGTAGTTATTAGTTTTGCCAAATTGACTTATCTTGAGCCTCCTAGTACATTCCCTCTTTGGATATAAAAGTGTCGTCTCACCTTCGGAAGAAAATAGTTATTATTTTTTCCAAATTGACTTACCTTGTACTACTCTCTCGTTGTATTTCTTAATTCTTACTGAAAATTTGCCTGTCACTGATTTCTCAAAATTGATGTTCTTCAATTGGAATAGACATCAGTTTAAGGGGTTACCCATGCTATAGTGCATCCCTTCAATAGTTCTATCTTCTGTTTTGTAGGTTGATGATGTTCCATTTGATGATGTGCCTGCTGTTATTGGCAACTACGATATCTGTATTGTAAAAAACATGCGGCTAAATGCAGATGTTATTTCTTGTGCAAAGAGGACAAAGCTTATAATGCAGTTTGGTGTCGGGCTGGAAGGTTCTTTCTTTATTTTTGTTAAATACCATAAGCATAACATCTGTTAGACGTTATTTCTTATATGCATATGGTCTCCATTTATCTTTACATGAAGGTGTTGACATCAATGCTGCTACAAAGCATGGAATCAAAGTCGCTAGAATTCCTGGTGGTGTAACTGGAAATGCAGCTTCATGTGCTGAAATGGCCATATATCTAATGTTGGGCCTTCTTCGTAAGCAAGTCAGTTAAATTCAGTCCAGAAATCTAGAATCAATATGCATTTCTCATTTTTTGTTAGCTTATAAATTGGGAAGCTTCAACAACTTTTTGGTGAATTAATTATTTTAAATTATGAACATGTAGAAATAAATGGTTTATGTGCATTGATCCAAATTGCAATTGAGAAAAATGGTAAATTTATGTTATGCTATCTCTCCATGATACGTTGCTGATTTTCTTTTTTTTCCTAAGTGAAATTTGTATGTTGAAGTTCAATTGATGAAAAGTTTTAGCTCAGTACCCTATATTGGAAAGTCTTTTGTTTTTTACTTTTTTCTTCCATAAATTTCTCAAACCTTGATAAAATTCACTGTGTTGATAAGAGCTTAACCAGAATTATGATTTAGCTCCTTCTTGAGAGTTTAGTTATTTATTTACATGTTTATTTATTAATTTTCATTACCTTGCAAGATCATTTTTGTAATAACCTTGTAAATAGAAAGTGATGTATTTTATCAGTATCACAATACATGTGAGTGATATATCACTAGTCTTTTAACTTATAAAACTGTTGATTAGATTTACTCTCTTATCTATTACTATATATTATTTTCATCGACAACAATGTGCCTTGTAATTACTTTATTCTTTCTACCTCGTCTTCATTACAAAGCTTAAATTCATTAATCCCCAAAGGTACATGACATTGTTTTTGAGGGGTTCAAATTTGCTGCAGTGTTGGTCATTTTGGCATATAACCCTTCTATTTTATTTACTTTATTTTCTATCTTTCTATTCCGTCTTGATAGCCTTTCCCACTCTAGACAAATTCCCACTATTTAGTGTTAGAAGTATGTAAATGGTGTGCTTGCACTCGGTATTTTTCACAGGGTGTTTCTCCTATTTAAATATAAATTGGTCGCATGCAGAAATCCCCTATTGCTTGAGCATTTGACATCATTTGGAGCACATTTTGTTATTAAACTGTTTAATTTGAGCACTTTTGTCTTTTATTTGTCATTATTGCTGAGATATCTTAAGAATCCATACATGTGGCTCGGTTTTCTCTATATCTCCTGACTTTCATTGTTTATTGACAATATTTCAACTTTGCTTTTAGGTTTAGGTCTTATTGTGGTAGTGCACATTCAATATGGATTTTATTTTTATTTTATATTTTTTGGGACTCTTTTGAAATACTGGATGTTTGGGATCTTAGGATTATATGGACAGGCATTACACCTTTTCTTTTGCAAGACATTGTTCTTTGTATATGAGGTTATATCATATATATAACACATATTTGTGTATGAAATTTAAGTCATGTTTATGTGAATTGGTTTTTTGTTATTTTGTTATTACTGCAGAATGAGATGCATATTGCTGTAAAGCAGAAGGTGCTTGGAGCGCCAGTTGGTGAAACACTGCTGGGAAAAAAAGTGAGTTTCAATTATCTTGGTTTTTCTGCTTTTGTTTTGTTTTTTTTCTTTTCATTGTTTTCTTTTTTTAATATCCTAGAATAACTTCATGTTGAACAAATGCTTCAAACAAATGATTTAACATCATTGCATATACTTAACCTGATATTTTAAAATAAGTTTGAATGGTATAATTTGATAAATGGCAAAATTTAATAGCCCTGTAAGGATGGTGAAACATATGAATTCAATGCCATTTGTGTTAGAGTAGCTGAATGATGTAATATGATCTGTTCTGCCTATGCAGACAAAATATAGCTGTCTTGCTTAAATTTACTTGGCAAGGATGCTTGCAGGGTTGTTTTTGTATTTCAACAAGTCAACCAGGATGGTTCCACCTCCTTTATGTTATCTGGTATACATGAAACCATGTAGAAGTTGGTCCAAGAGCAAACAGTGAAAACTATTTTGGACGCCGCGCTAATCATATCAGTTGTGATCCAAAAAATAGTGATGCCTGGAGTGTGAGTTGCTCATATAGGAATCAAGTGAGATGGTTCTGAATATGATCATGTTTATTATTTGCTTGCTACCACATCTAGACTTGCATGTGTGCATGCTTTGATGTAGCCTTCCATTTAATGTTGATATTAATGTGATTTCTAGCAAATTATGTTCTATGCATATTGATGGTTTACTATATTAATTTAATTTAATCTAGTGTCTAAACTGCTAATGGATACAAATATAGTAGATAGTTGAATCTTGATTGCTCCCTTAGCTATTAATATGAGATTTTGATTGGTTAAAAAATACAAGCATTTTGATGTGTTCATAGCATCATAGATATGGAAGTGCGTTTTAGGTTTGCTTTTGCTTATTTATTGATTTGGGCTGGAATTTAACCACACAAAGAAGCAAAACACAAGGCGTAAAATTTCATGTCTACCATTAACATTGAATTCGGCCTCGTGGAAGGGTTTCAAGTAACATTTTTCAAGAGAAGGGGTTCTCTAATATAGGATTGTGATCCATTATGGATGTTCTCTGACAGAGTTTAAAGCAATTTTCTACTAGTGCAGTGCTAAGCAAGAGGACTGAACACACTTGCATCGTTGATGAGCAAAACGATTGTTGTTGCTCTACTGAATTTAGCACAACAACTTGATAATTCTTCTAACTCATGCAGGTGTTCATTATGGGATTTGGAAACATTGGGATTCAGTTGGCAAAACGCTTGCGGCCATTTGGTGTGAAAATCCTTGCTACAAAACGGAATTGGGACTCATATTTGCAAAATTCATGCAAGTCCAATGGTATGTAAGGGCTTATAAACTAAAATAATATAGCTGAATGATATGTAAGGTTTCATTTATCATTTTCGATGGTATGTCTTCAGCATCACCCACTCAAATTGGTATGAATGACGATTTGGTTGACGAGAAGGGTGGTCATGAAGATATCCATACTTTTGCAAGCAATGCCGACATAGTTATTTGTTGCTTGTCGATGAACATTGAAACGGTTAGGCTCCTCTCATTTCCATACATGCGCTTCTTCTGGGAGTGAAGTGCATTATTTGCTATATGCTCACATTTTTTGATACATTTGCTTTCAGGCTGGCATCGTAAACAAAACATTTATATCATCAATGAAAAAGGTTTGTTCCCAATCTGATAATGACTTATCTCAGAAGCTTAGGGTGTGTTTGGTTTGTGTTTTGAAACATGTTTTTGGAAGAAAATTTCCAATAACATGTTTGGTTACAAATTTTCTCAAAAAAATTCCAAAATTACTTCTCTCTCTATTACACATCAATCAATCACTTTTTCTCTCTCCTCTCTTGTTCTCAATATCTCACACACATCTACTTAATTACAACAAAATATCAAATCATCCCAAACTTCCAAACTCCAAAACTATTTTCAAAATATACAACCAAACAAACCAAAAAAATTTCTAAACTCTCTCCAAAATTTTTTTTGAAAATTTATCTCAAAACACAAACCAAACACACCCTTAATGTTTTTTTTTTTCATTGATGAATCTACTTAATTCTCACAATTTACATTGATACACTTGATGAGAACTGGACTATTCTTTAGTATGAATTGGTTGCTATAACATTGATGAATCTACTTAATTGCCGTGGGTTGCCGCTTGCCGCACACATTGCCTGGGGGACTCCATGGAGGTTGTGGTTTGTTGGGTCATGAGGGAGTGCTATATAGGGGTTAATGTTGCGAGGCCCTCGTCATTCCCATGAGCCAACACCTTTAGCTTAGTAGGTAATTGTTTGAGAAGAGAATTGGAAAGAAGCCTATGACACATGCCCCCCTCTCATAGAAACAACTCAGTGGACACGTGTCCCTATCCTTATTGGTTTGCCCTTACACTTGGTGCCAATGGTTTGCGTCTTTGCTTGTTTGTTGTTTGGTTTGTGTTTCAGGGTGCCCTTTTGGTGAATATAGCTCGAGGGGGTCTGTTGGACTATGAAGCTGTTCATTATCACCTTAAATCTGGCCACTTGGGAGGCTTAGGCATGGATGTTGCTTGGACAGAGCCATTTGATCCTGACGATCCAATTTTGAAACTCTCAAATGTCCTAATAACACCACATGTTGCAGGTGTCACAGAACATTCTTATAGAACCATGGCTAAGGTATGAACCTCACTACACTGCTAGATTATTGTCAATTTTAGTATTATTTAGATTAAGCCCCATGTTAGACATTGTTACAAGGATGATAATGAAAAAGAAAGACAGAAAGAACAATAATTATAATTACAATGATGATGATGATGATGACGAAAGGAAAGAATGGTTCATCAATGGGGGTGTTTGTTTCACCTTTTCAGAGCTAACTTATGGCTTTTAGCTTTGAAAAAGTTATTTTGGACTGTTTGGTTAAACTTATTTCAAACAGCTTCTGATTCTAACAACTTATTTTAACTCAAAAAAGCTGATTCTGAGAAGCTGCTCACCCCTTGCTTCTGATCATCAGCTTCTGCTGTGGACATGTTAATTTATGGTTATACTCTTAATTTTTTTTATTTTTTATTTTTTTTTAAAATAGAAAAAGACCCAAATGGACTATAGATTATTATTATTATTTTTTATGAGAAATGTAGACAAACAAAAAATAAAAATTAATTGAAAAAGCTATTTCACAACTTATTTAACAAACACTACTCAGCAACTTAAATCTATAATCTAACAGCTACACCAAACATATTAACAATTTCTGATTAAAGTCATAATCTATAATCTGTTAAGCTATAATCTATAAGTTGTTTTAACAGCTACACCAAACGAGGCCAATAATAGATTGAACTACATCGACAAAGAACCCTGATGGCATATAGTGGTAACGAAAGTTAGCCTCAAATGTTAAGTTTAGGCGAGCTAAACAGATGACCGCTTTGATTAAAAAATGTGAGTTTTACCTTGGTTAATACTCACATTAGGGGGCAGATGCTTAACCAGATGACTGCATAACAATTGAATGTAAGTTTACCTCAAAGTTAGTGTAATTGTCATTAGTCGTGGACAGAATGCCTATAAGGAGAACAAGGATTCTGTCAATTTCTAGATATAAGTTTCGGAGGCCTTCATAATGCCCTCATATGAACTATCATACATGCTTTGGGCAATCTTATGAGTATGACACCTCCCAGTGATTTCTCACATTCACAAGATCACCAAGGTTATTCCAATCACAGACTTGATATCTGTCAGATTGATTGCTTGAATCTTTATCAAAATGTCGGTGCCTTGCAACATGAGCTTTTAACGGGAAGAACCCATTGACATAACCCTTTGTGTTTGTTTATATATGGAGTGGGAGCTTGCTGTTAATCTGAGGCCAGACCTTGTTCCCTTACTTTAATGCAAATACACTTATTTATAGGTAAATAGCTACTAGAAGAATAAAAAAACTTTGGAGATGGATGGCTTGGTCTTTTTAATCATCCTGTGCACTGAGTATTTATGAATTTAATCAAACTGATGGGCTGTTCCATAAGTAATTGGATCTTGAAAGCTCTGTTTAATTAAATGGTAGAAATTTATGGTGAACAGGCTTTGCTATTGATAGTTGAATCAATTCCTTTATAGAGCTCTACTGTTGGTGAATATTTACTTCAAAGTTGCAAGCCTTTGAAAAATACCCATGGATGATGGCTTTGAATTCTATGAATATAGAAACAACTTCCTAAGGGCTGTGTCAAGTTAGTGTCTTTAATAAGCAGATGCGTTTTTTTGTTACAATGTTGATGAATTCCTGTGTTGATTGTAGCCTTTTTGCCTTTGAAAATAACAGGTTGTTGGCGATGTAGCCCTTCAGCTTCATGCGGGGTCTCCTTTTACTGGCATAGAGTTTGTCAATTGATTTAGAGAAAGATATTTTATTTTGGATCCTTTTACTCATTTGAAAATTCAAAAAATTATGTGCTAGCTAGTGTTGTTTGGATGTATATCTATATTATTATATGAAGTGAACACCATGTTTGGTGTTGGGCACAGTTTGATATGCATTATAATATAAAATTCTTTAAATGGTTAGCATAATTAAATATGTACAAGAATGCTTGATCTATCAATGATAATGCCACAAAAAGCAAATTGTGAATAAAAAAAAAAAAATTACCAGAAAGAATATGTGAAATTGATAAGTTGAATGTGTTGCATTGCATGTGTTTGGATCGGACGTTAATCTAAACACGAGAAATGTGAGACGTTTCATACTCATAGTGATGAGACGTGTCACGTTTCTTGGACTTCATTGCCTTTGATCTCTCATGATAAGGTAATGGACTTGTGTCTTGTTTTATGCATTTATTAAATGTGTACAAGTTGGATCTTTGACCATCATGTATTGTGAATGCTTGATTGGTGGTCTTGGATTCAATTGTGCAACTCCTTTGAGGTTTTGAGATGATAAGGTGGGGCATAGTACAAAAATACCTTTGGGAGACCCTCCATTTTCCTCTGGTTTGAGCTCTGTTGCAAAATGGTGATACAGCACACCAGTGGCCGGCAGTGCCTCACTGATGGCCGGCACTGCTTCATTCTTGGCCGGCAGTACACATCTTTGGCCGGCAGGTGGCTGACATCAAGCTCCCATGGCCGGCAGGCCACTGGTGCACTCTCCAGCATAGAATTGGTAAGGCAGAGCAGAAAGTTCTTGGAGACACCCTGCAAACAGAGTCTCTCAAGAGCAAATCGGTGTGCTTTTCGGGGCGAGAAACCGAATGCATGCATGTTCAACTTTTCGAAGCAGAGCTGAAGTAGTGTAATTTAATGCTTTACTTATTAGTTAGCATTGATGTTGTAATTTAATTAATTAGTGTGCTAATTAGTTAAGTGTTGTAATAATTAGTTAGTGGTTTACTAGTTATTCAATTTGTTGTGTAATAATTAGCCTAATTAGTTTAATTAGATTAGTTAGATTAACTTAGCTTATTCATTCTGACCCTCCTTCGAGAAGGCAAAATGTTGTAATAAGTGTGCGTGTGTGTGTGCATGTCTTCCAACTCCACGTCTTTCTCCCTTTTATTTAACTGCTTTCGATGGTTAGATTAGGGCACGTTTTGATTAGCTTACCTTTATGCTTGTATGTTTGCATCATTCATTTGTCTTGCATGCACCGAGGCGCGGCGCATCATTCAAACTGCATCGTATTTCAATACCTATTTGAATACGTATTTCAAAGCATGTTATCAAATTTTTGCATTCATATGCCATCTTAGATAGCCAAGCCTATTTAATTGCATTATTGCATGTGTTGCATAAGGTATTCTAGCATAGTTAGGATCATGCATATTTCTAACTAGTTTTTGTTTTGGCTTGGAGTACACTGTAAGTTTTACGCTTTAGCATACTTGCATGAGTGTGAGTGTTGCCATGATAGCATGCTTGTCATGAGGCTATGTGTTTATATCATTAACTGCATGAATGCCTGTGGATGAAGGCTTTGTTGCTTGAATTGGAACAATTCGATAAATGTAAGTTTTAAGCTCACTTTGCGAAGTGGCAAAACATCATGTTTAAAGCCTATCATGTTTGATGGCAAATCTGCGCTTTAGCCCACTTGAGAGTGGCATTTTCAAACCATTTTCGAAAACAAACATGAGTTGTTTTGTTCCAATTCTCGCGGCTTAGTCTATACTTATATGCTGTGCGCATTACGTAGTAAAGTTAGCTAATAACCGGAATAAGAACACATGTGTTTATAAAACAACATATCATGATAGTAGAGGCCGATCCTTTAATCGGGCGAGCGGGGGTGCTCATTTCAGGACCTTCCCCTCTCGTACCTAAGTTTTCGAGCCGAGGCAACTTTGGTGATGACGGATATATGGCCTTTGGCACGAGTCAGGGTTTCCTAAATTTTTCTAAAATAAAATATTTAGGTGGCGACTCTGTAATCTGGCAAAGTAGTTCAGTTTTGGCATTATTTGATTCAAAATCTGATTTCCCAAAATGATTTGCCGGATTGGACTCTTTGTTGTTTATCAGTTTTACATTGCAGTTTGTGAGATTAGATTCAGAACCGTGACAGGAATCCGAACTGTAGGAGACCAATTCGCACTTTCTCCGAAAGGGGGGGCGCGCGAAGAAAGTCGAGTCTACACTTAGATCTTTAGATCTATCACCTAGAGCTATCTTTTTACTTTGGTCCTTTGAGAAATGTTATAGATCTTGTCAAGGGTTTTCTATTGATTTAAGAAGTTCGTGGTGTCGTTGACGTTGAGTTTTTCGGGTTTTCCTCTTCTACACTTGAGGTAGGGATTTCTTGTTCCTTTTCAATACTTCGTCTATAGATAGATATGTGGTAGACTTTTACTGCATAAAAAATCATGTGTATTAGAGTTCTTTTTGAAAAATCATATGAGAGGGTATCTAGGGTTTGTTACTTGGGGTTGAAAATCGTTACATACATTGTTGCTTGGGTTCTTCGGGGAGTAGTTTAGCATGTTGATGTTGAGATTATAGACTTAAATGGATTAAAAAGGGAGAAAGTTGCATAATGTTTTATGATTTGATTATATGGATTGTGTTATTGTGTTAAGAGTAAAAAAGGAGAATTAGCCATGGTATTGGAATCGATCTAACTTAATCATGTTAAGTTGAGTTGAGTTATGACTTCGATATTCATGGATTTAGTTTTCTAAAATAAAGGAAATGGATTTTAGTTTTCTAAAACGAAGGGAATGGATTTTGGTTTTGTGAAACAAAGAGAATGAATTTAGTTTTGTAAAATAAAAAGGATGGGTTTTGGATAAAGATCGGAGTATGTTAACTTGGAAAATCATAGGATTGATGTTTAAAATGGGAAAAAAACCATAACGATTTGTATTTCAGAAATGAACGTGAAGTTGGATTATGAATATTTTAGTTCACTATTGTTGTTCTTGGATTTAAAGTTTCATGTGAGTTGGTGTAGCCGATTTTTTGCTACTTCTCGGAGGGGTTTAGTCTCCTCGGATATGATAGTCCTACAGTTCGGACTCCTGTGGTTCTAAATGTGGTTTCACAAGTGCAATGTGAAATAATGAAAGCACAAAAGAGTCTAAATTCGGCAAATCTTTGGAAAATTGATTTTCAACCAAAAATGCCTAAAATGGACTGCATTGCCAAATTTCAGAGTCGCCACCTAAATATTTTTAGAAAATTTAGGAAACTCGTGACTCACGCCAAAGGACACTTGTCCGTTATAACCAAAGTGTCTCGGCTCGAGAACTTAGGTATGAGAGGGGAATGTCATGAATTGAGCACCCTACTCACTTGATCAAAGATCGGCCTTTACTAATCAAGATGCGATTGTTATGTACAGTATATGCTCTTGTTCTGATTATTATGCTATCTTTATTATGTGATGCACACAAGTATAGACTAACTTGCCAACTTTGGAATGTTTTGATTTCATGTTTGTTTTGAAAAGAGTTGTGAACATGTGCTACTTGAAAAAGTAAACTCACATGTATATTAATTAAATTATCCCAACTTAAACGAAAAAACCTTCATCCACCGGCATTAAAGAGGTATATCAACTAAACACTTAGTCTCATGGTAAATATGCTTGATATGGAAACACCAACAATCATGTAATATGCTAAAGCAAGAATGCTCATCTAGTACTCAACTGAGGCAAGCCAAAAGAAATGAAACCATTAGAAAAAAAAATGCATGCTCTATTACGCAAGTGACTAATGCAACACATACAAAATGCAACTACTAGGTTCGGTTTATTAACATGACATATGTCTTAACTCAAAGCATGCGATAATGCACGTATTCAAGTAAGTAAGAAATGACAATAGTGTTAGAATGATGAACAGAATTCGATGCATGCGGAAATGGAAATTTATACATGGTAATGCTATGAAACAAAACTATGATACTACATGCAACCATCATAAGTGAGTAAATAAAAGGAAGAAAGAAATGGAGGTTGGAAGACATACACAATATTACAATTTTGCCATCATGCAAGAGGGTCCAAATAAATGTCCTAATTTAGCTAAATATTACAAACAGCAAATGAATGAATAAGCTAAATTTAACTAATTATTACAAATTCAAAGGAATTTAATTAACTAGTTACAACACTCTAATTAAACTAAGATTTAAAAGCTAATAGATTCGAATGGGAGTCGAAGAACCACACGTGCAACTGAGAACATCCTCTCGGAAATTCTTCTGTTATGCTGCTAGATTTTATTCTGTTTACAGTCAGAAAATAATTCTATTTTTGCCTCAGCTTTTGCTCTGTTCTGTCACGAAAATGACACTGTTTGTCCAAAATAGGGTGGCTGGCTGGCCTTGAAAAGTAGTCGGCCAGATGGAAGGGTGGCCGGCCGGCCACTATGTTTAGGTACTACCCTACTTCCACAGAATTAAAATAGAGCAAAAAAAGAGTGTTTCCTAGGGGATGTTCATCATCTCTATCTCTTCTTATCATGAAACTGATCAAGGGAAAAGTAGAATCGATCCACAAATCATCAAATATCGCAAAGTTGTTGCGTGATGATCTATGAACCAGTGGGACAAAAAGATCAATGAAATGAAGTGAAAGACCAATAACACCTCTTCCTATTATGGAATTATCTCAAGGAAAGGGGTGGACACTGTTTCTTGAACCATTGAACGTCACTAAAGACTACGCAATGAGTCAAGAGGCAATAGGTTCAATATAACGTCCGATTGAACCCGATTTGATTTTATTACATCTTTCACCACTTTTTGTTCCATTTTATTAGCCTTTTTTATTATCTTTCCATTCTTTATTCATTTTTGTCCAAAAGTGATGGTTCTGTCCACTAATAGAGAGAAGTATCAAACAAGAAGTGGTCATTAGCATGAGAGAGATGTAATGCCTTGGTAATGAATCTCCGAAAATATTAAACCATTAAACATGAAAAGTCTTTTTCTCATGCCTTAAACAACGATTTATTGTTTGAAACAACTCTAAACAAAGAAAACCAAGAAAGGAGAGAGGTTGCAGAGATGATTATTACAAGTGTGAGTACATGTATGAAAATTATGGAATAAAAAGCTATAAACTT